ACACACACACACACACACACACACACACACACACCCCTTCCACAAAAGGGGAAAAGGGGGTGTCAATTAACTCGGCTCCGTTTGTGCAGCTAAAACAGATGTTAACTGACCTTTGATGACCTCTACAAAATATTAGTAATATCATTAAAATGATAGCAGTACAAATGAAAATTTTTGCCATACAAAAATATAACATTTTTAAATGAATTTTAAATATAAAATATTTCAAATAAATATATTAAAAATTTTAAAATGCTTCTGCTTGTGAAAGGCTTGGTTCTTAATCGTTCAACTGGTTAAAGAAAAAGTTTGTGTGGATTTCTGCTCAGGCTGAGGAAAAGTTCTGCGTTTTGCATTAAATGCTGCTGCGCAGGTTTCGTTATCCGTTTTTTGTTTTTTGCACCAAGAAATGGAAATGTTATGAAAGCTGTAGAAAAGGATAAAAGTTGTCCAAGTGTGTGGTTTGCTTTGTGTGAGGAGAGATGAAGTGGATCAGGTCTCTGACCTCCTGTCCTCTCCTCAGGCTGCTGGCCATCTGTGACATATCTGCCGACACCGGAGGCTCCATAGAGTTCATGACGGAGTGCACCACCATCGACAAGCCTTTCTGCATATATGATGCTGACCAGCACATAGATCATGACAGGTACCGTGAGGCCAAACCGAACCTGCTGTGATCAGCCGGCAGAGGAGGCGGTCATCCTCCATAAAGCCTGTTCTGTGTGTGTTTGCGGCAGTGTGGAGGGAAACGGGATCCTCATGTGCTCCATCGACAACCTTCCTGCTCAGCTGCCGATTGAAGCCACCGAGTACTTCGGAGACCGCCTCTTCCCCTACATCTGGGAGATGGTAAGACGTGCCAGCCTGAGGTGAAGCCAGGCGTTTTTATTTTTTGGGATTTTCTGCCTGCTTTAGGAGAGCTGCAGCATCATATTGAACCTCTGACAGCAATGAATCATGTTAACATCTCTGTGATTAAAGAAGTGTTTTGTTACAGCTGCTCTCAGACGCCACCAAGCCGCTGGATGAGGAGGAGTTCAGCCCACAAGTTAGAGATGTAAGTGATGCTGCTAAATGCGTCGGATGTTTGGGATTTGTTTGGCCTGCAGGAGACGGTTGCTTAAAATCAGAAACCGTCTGCAGACGGTGACTCAGGTTTAAGGTCATCTCCATTTGTTCCCGCAGGCCATCATCACCTCTAATGGAGCTCTCACCCCAAAGTTTGAGTACATCGAGAAAATGAGAGAAAAAAGGTACATCTTCCTCCTGACGTTTCCACATGGTCGCTTCTTTTATCTCTGCTGTGCAGAATCTTAATGTATTAGATAACCAGAGCTCAGAGCTACAGTTAATTAGTAGGTCACTCAGATCGTGGGTAAAACCAACCAATGATTATTAGTTAAATTAATATAACTGATATCTGGTTACTGACCAGGGTTCTTAGTCATTTACATAGAGGTTGGACTCCCTGAGCAGCTGTTAAAAATCCAGTTAGCTTCACCAGTTTAGTGATTTAGACTTTGGCTATCAGCAGAGTTATTAATCAACAACCAAAGAAATATGTCTGTGTTCATTCAAATAATAACCAAAAGGAGGGCGGATCTGACCTCAGTTAGAAATCGTTCACTGCATAAAGTTACCACAGATGATCACAGGTTTAAAAAAAAAAAAAGTATTTGTTAAAATGCAATGGTACCTTTGTTAGTCAATAATCACTATAACTGTATTATTATATCTAATAACTACGCAGACACTAAACACTACTGCACATAAGGACATTTTAAATGAAAAGCTAATAAATGGGGGAAAGGCCTGATGATGGCGATTGGTCCGACTTTTTAATCTGCGATCCGATGTTTTTCCATGTCCCACTGACTGCGTATAGAGAGGCTCCAACTAGGCAGGATGAGCAGATTATTTCCTCTTCTGTCTCTGTGTTATACACAC